TGCTGCGATCATTGAAGACGAGTGCTCGCGGCGTTGGCGCGAGAACCGCATTTTTCAAACGACCTCCCGTCCATCCATGAAGCTGTTGCCGAACTATATATATATATATATATATATACATATCGAGTGCACGCGGCGCTGAGGCGAGAGCCCCCGTCTGAATAGGAGCCGCCCTCCATATCTAAAGGGTGGTTCAACATTTCACCGCGAGAATGCACGGTGCTGAGGCGAGTGCCACATGTTGAAAACGATTCCCACATCCGTATGTGAAGCTGTTGCAAGTTGTTATAACGAATGTGCACGGCGCTCATGCGGGAGCCATATTTTTTAAACGAAGCAGATCCATCCTTGGAACAGCTGCACCTTATCAAGACGAATCTGCGCGGCGCCAAGGCAGGAACCACATTTTGAACACCGCCTCCACTCCATCCGTGATCCTGCGGCAAAATTGTACGACGAGTGCTTGCGGCGTTGAGGCGAGAGAGCCACATGTTTAAAAACATCGTTTCTTCCATCTTCGGGGATGTTGCAAGGCTCAAGTGGAGATGTTGCAACGTTCAACCTTTCGAACCGTACACGGCGAGGAGGTCTCAGGCACAACCCCAGGCTCGCACAAACGCGGCGCGTGTGGGTCCGACACGGTGGTGTGTGTTCTAAGAAAACGGGGTGGGCGAAGAGGTTGAGGAACAGGAGGAGGAGGAGAAGGAGGAGGAAGAGGAGTTCACACACATGGCCGTGAGGGTGATCGCACCCTGGCGCCTCGCGGTCTGGCCCAGCCGACCCTCTCCACGGGGACGCGCGAGATTGCGCGAAAATGCGTGGGATTCTGCCAAGATCTGCCGTCGCAGGGGGCCCATACTTCGGGTCGTCGCGAGAAAACTTGTTCCCCAGGGAATTGCCCAGGGCCCCAGGGCAGTGAAGACCGACCCCAGACGACGAATTGGCCCCGAGGGAGGGCCCCAGGATCCAGGGCCCGCTTCCTTCAGGACCCGTGGTGTTGAATCCGCCCACCAAGTCGGCTTCGGGGTGGCGCCTCAGGGCCATCAAGCAATTGTGGTTTAGGTTCGGTGTCGACCCCCCCGCGATTTTGAGATTTCTGGCAAATGGGCGTCATGCAACGGTGGCGGTGACAATGATGGCTAGATGATAACAGTTCAGGAGTCGGCGAGGGACTCCCTTGGGAAGCCCCCTGGTGCCATCTCAAGTTCATTAATCCTGCGCCTCTCCCTCTTCCTCCCCCCTCCTCCTCCCAATCAGAAGCTTCTTTCGTGTCAGAATCACGGAAAATTCACGCACAACTTCATCCAGTCTCACTTTCGCAAGTTGTGAGTTCAGAGTCACCCGCGCAGCCATGGGAGATGCCGCGCCTGAGTGGTTCTCGGCCTTCGTCACAGGACAGTTCGCTGCATTGACGAAGACGGCCACCGACACGAACAGCCAGCTGACGGGCCAGATCAAACAACTGGACGGACGGATGGCTGCACTCGACATCGAAGTACAGCAGATGGAGATACGCATCCAGGCTTCAGAAGAAGCTATGCAGACAGCATCAGTGACAGCCTCGAGCACGCTTGGCACAGACAGGACGAAGCGGGCTAGAGTGGGTATGACAACTGGGACAGACACCAGCGATTCATGTAGAATGTGGGTGGGTGGATATCCACGCGCTGTTCTTGCTGCCGCGAGACAGACGACCTGGCAGCAGCTCCAGCAAGGAGCACCGAGCCACCTCATGGACGGCACCACAGCGCAGTTTGCAAAAACGAGTCCAAGTTTCTCCATCCACTTCAAGAACGAGGACACGGCAAAGAAATTCAAAGAATGGTTCATCCAGCAGCAGCTTCAATGGAAGGGTGCTTGACACGGATCATGTCATGCTCTACGTATTCGCACCGACCTCCCAGATGATGTCCGTCATCGACAAGGACGCATGTCACATTTATGGGCCCCGATCGTTCAATTCTTGAAGCACAACAACAAGGACCAAGCCGACTACAAGATCCGCGCAAACGGGTTCCGCAACGAGTTCTTCATCCGCACATCCGGTGACTTATTCATCGTGGCAAAAAGGTGAACAGGACGGGCTCGGCAGGCTGGTGCTCGAGCCCAGCAAGAGCGACCTGGCCTTCTGGTGCTTTCCCGTAGACCAGATGCAGCAGTGGATTGACGGATGTGGCAGTGCACGCTGATGGTCTCCGACACCAGCTTCTTCGGCGGCGCGCTGCGCGGGGACGACAGCGGACATTGCGACAAACACGAATTTGCAGATCACATGCTCATCGTTTTCATGCTCCTCGTCCGCGTCGAGCGCCTCTTCTTCCTGCTCTTCTGATTATGTTCACGATCTGGCTAGCCAGCCAGACGATCCCCATTTTTTGCAGCCGCTGCCGCCTCTGACTCTTCCCGACTGGCCCTGTGGCCAGCACGCAGCGCACCAGCAGCCGTTCCTCACCGCCTCCTCGCTTGATATCGTTTCCTGGAATGCACCTGGTCTCTTCGGCTCGGCGCGGACCCGTCGTCAGATGAATGCTTCGATTAGATGCACGGAATCCACAGCGTTGTTTGTGTTCAGGAGACTCACGGGACCATCGCCGACGCCAGCTGCATACGACAAGAATTTCGACTTGTGAATGTAGGTTGCACTATGTTTCAGGGCTCCACCAGGGCTGGAGGGCTTGCCACTTTCATCGCGGCTGATCTTGCACAGCAGTTTCACGCCTTTCAACGCCATGTGATTCAGGAAAGGCAGGATGCTAATGAGTGCCATGTTGGGAGACAAAGAGAACTTGGCTATCATGGGTGCCCGTGCGCCGAACGCGCGCGAGTCGCTAGCAGTCTACGCGTCCAGCCTCGACGAGCTACTTGAGGCTTTACCGCCTGCCGAGCAGTGTTTTTTTCAATTATCTTGGGGGATTGGAATTTGACCTTGGAGGAGGAAGGGGGGGAACTATCCTGACAGGGCGGGCTGGCCCCGAGGTGGCACGCGTTCCCACGCGCTCTTTAACCAGAAGTGCTCGGACTGGATTGCATTCTTTCAAGCGGATGACACTCGTCGGGAGATGAGGGGCGGGAACATTGCCCACGCTGCGCGTGTAGACCGCATCTACTCCAACATTCCAGCGGCGGTCGCGGCTGACCTGACTATTCGTGCTTCAGTTATAGGTAAGCTCTGTCAGGCCCGTGTCCCTGATCACATCCCAGTGTTGGTCGCAATTGGCACTTTCAGGCCCCCCACTGGCCTGAATAGCGCGGTCCCCGACTGGGCCAGCAAGAACGAAGCCTATCAAGAACTACTTGACACGGAGCTTAACAACAAAGCCGTGGAGTTTCATTCACTAAATGCTACTGATGCTCTGAAGGCTGTTAAGGCTATCGCGCGCCCAGTGATCAAGCGCGCAAGGCGCCTCCTTGCCAATCAAGTTGCCTGGGCATTTATTTTGAAGAATCACTGGTGCATGGTAGCCCCGAGGGGGATACGTGCACAGCAGGGCCACATGGTGTGCAAGGCTGTCAGTTGCTATCCCGAGCTTCAGAGGTTCTTTGACTGCGAGACCCTGCTCTGTCACGACCGCCATGATCTTTGCGAATTGACGCAGGAGATCGACGTTGAGATTTTAACTGAGGAGGGGGAGGATATTGAGAACGATAACAGCATGCACGATGATACCAAGAAAGCGGCAGTAGAAAAATTACGGATGAGGATGGAGATTTGGAGGAAATTCAGAAGGTGAACCTATCTCACTGCCGTGCTAGACGCTAACGGAAGCCCTTGTACTACACTCGAGCAGTCGGCCAACGTAATTGCTGAATATTGGGGAAGTTTTTTTCGCCAGCTACGGAAGATCGTTCCAGGTGGGCGGGCATTCTGAGACATGTTCAGATGGTTCCCGAGGACCTCGAGGTTTCCCGGAAGGTTGAAGATTTTTTTGGAACACATACGACACTGCCGTAGCTCGATGCTTGGGCCAGGCGGCATTCCATATGCGTGCTGGCGAATACGAGATGCGCCGAGATACCTCTACTTTTTTTATCTTGAGATTTCACATGGACATGTTTCAGAGCTGCCTGGCGATATGGGGGAACTACTGATGGTTTCCTACCTAAGGGTGAGCAGGAGGGGGACGGGACAGGGAACATTATCCGCGATGCAGCATGCACGCGCCCGCTCTCCATGTCTAACACCGATGCGAAGATCCTCTCTGCCGTGTTCTGCCACCCATTGAATGAGCTCTCTAAAGTGACTGTCGCATCCCTCCAGAAGTGTGTTAAAAGGTAGACAAATGATCACATATGTAGTGCCGGCAGAAAGTGGGGGGCTGCAACAAGAGTTGCTCGCGCACGACTCGGCTGCCATCCTCTCGACTGATTTCTCCGCTGCTTTCCCGTCGCATCTGCATGTTTGGATGTTCGCCGTGCTCAATGCTATGAATGCCCCCTCCTTCATCACTAACTTCTACTTCGCGCTCTATAAGAAAAACCAGGGCGCGGTAACTCTTGGTGGGCAGAAATTCGGATGCTTGCCTATGCAGAGGGGGGTGCGTCAGGGCGACCCTAGCTCGATGGCCCTCTTCTGTCTTTGCATTGACCCTGTATTGCGATGGGCACAACAGGCCCCCCCACACACACACACACACACACACACACACACACACACACACACACACACACACACACACACACACACACACAACTACACACACACACAACCCCACCCCACCCCACCCCACCCCACCCCCCCACCCATGTTGCTCTGTGCCTTGCATATGCTGACGGCTGTCTTTTTGGAATGGTGGATGTCTTTCGCTCGACTACTGCCGTGTGGCGCATGCTTCTCGTCCTCGAGTCAGCTATTGGGCTGGCGCTCAACTTTCGCAGGCCACTGCCCTGATATGCGGGAGGGTTAGGAAGGGGGAGGTCAGTGACATGATGTCCAAGGAGGCGAGGGGCTTGGAGTTGGTGGGAGTAAGTCCTGCTATCAAGTACTTGGGGCTGTATATTGGCCCAGGTGCTGCCGGTGTGGCACGGGGTGTCCCGCTGCGAAATTTGTTGCAAGATGCGCGATGCTCTGGCAGCTCGCTCCTGGACATGCGATGGCAGTTTCTACCTTTTTGGTCATGTGCCTCTCTTCGCTCCATTTTGTCCTCCAAGTTGAAACAAGCGCGAAACAGGTCATGCAAATATACACGCACAGGTTACATTGCCTTACGAATGGCCCATACCATGCGCTCTCGTATAACATGCTTGTCTTGCTCCAGAAGCTCGTACTCAATATCGAGCCCCCAGATCTCGTTGCTCTCTCGCGTGCCTGCCGCGCCCGTCTTGCTGCGAAGCGCCCTGGCATTCGCGAGTGCTGGGGCGAGCTGCTGAAGCTCACTGGGAGCAACGCAATATGTTATGCCAGAGTTGTCGACCCACGGGGATGGCATCGCAGGTCGTTGTTTTACCTGAACTGTTTGAGGTGGTGCAGAGTGTCCAGAATGTTGTGCACCTCTCCGATCTTCCCCCTGATGCTCTCCAACGGAAACCCTACGCCCGTGTCCACGCCCTTCCTCTTCCTGGACCTACGGCGTTTGAAGGCCTTCAGTATCGACTGAGAAAGTGGCTGCCTGAAGTGGATTGCAGTAATCTCTCCCATCTTGTCCTTCAAAACCGACGTAACGCAGCAGCGACTTCCCCTTACCTTGCCACGTGTGTTCTTCGTATCTGCACGCGTGCTGCGCGCACGGGTGCTCGCTCCCACTTTCATCATCGCGGCTGTATCTTTGGGTGTGCTCGCCGGGAATTTGGGTTTGATATGTCTCGGGGGTATGGTGATCTACGTCATTACAAATTCTGCCATCGCTTCCGCGAGTCATGTGTCCAATGGATGGGTACTGCGTTCCGAATTGCCCCTGTGATGATTCCATGGGTTGCCGCGCTGATTCAGCTCTATCCTCTCCCCCCGAATGTGTCGCTGCTGCGTGCCTGCATGTGTGATGCTTTCCTGCGTGCTCACCACTGCGCGAGGCTGGGCCTGCCTGGCACGGCCCAGCAAAACTTTGAAGCTCGCCTCCGTCTTTTGACTCGGAGGCATGTGGCTGTTGCCGAGGCGTGGGTTGACTTCCGTGCAGGGCCTGGGTGGCTGGCCCCTGCTGGTGCGTCTTTGGGAGCCGAAACAGCTCTGTCTCAGGGTGCGCGATGAACTTCAGGGGCGGCGTCGTCTCTGAACGCTGGCCTTTGGCTCTGGCCGCTGTGCCACTGGGGAGGCGGCGCGGCATTCGTCATCTGATCGTGGCCCGCGAACACTGCGCGCCCAAAACCAAAGCCCTCGCAGCACCCGGTTCCGGAACTGCAGGGGCGGCGATTAGGGCCCCGGTGGCTAGTGGCGCATTGGAGCGGAGACGAAATGGCGACGAGGCAAAAAAAACAAGCCATCTTGGAGGCCCCCCCCTCCCCCCCTAGAAATGTCCACAGGATTATGCCTTGCTGCGTTTGTTGTTGTTTTGTGCGTTGTGCCTTTCGGTTGTTCCTCATATGGGTTCATTGCTTCTGCCCCAGAAGGGGTTCCTGATTGGGCGGAGAGCGGGCGGGGGGAGGGGGGGAAAGAGGAGAGCAGGGGGGGGAAGAGGAGGAGGAGGAGGCGCGCGAGGCGGAGGGGGATGGGGGAGGCGGAGGCGACGGAGGAGGAGGAGGGGGAGGAGAAGGAGGAGGGCGAGGATGAGGAGGAGCAGGAGGGGAATGATGCCAGGAGGAGGAGAAGGGCGAAGAGCAGGAGAGGGGGAGGGGGGGGAGGAAGGAAAAGGATGCAAAATAAAGAGGGGCAGCAGGATGAGGAGGAGAATGGGCGGCAAGGAGGGGGGGGGGGAGGGGGGGGGGGGGGGGGGGGGAGGAGGAGGAGGAGGAGGAGGAAGAGGAGGAGGAAGGGGCTGGGAAGTGGATGGGGGAACAGGAGGAAGAGGAGGAGGTGGCAGAGGAGGAGTAGGAGGAGCAGGGAAGAGACTGAGGCAGGATGATAAGGAGCGGGGAGAGGGAGAAATAGGAGCTGTCAGAGGAGGGCACGGAGGAGGAGGAGGAGGAAGAGGAGGAGGAGGAGGTTGATGGGTTACTCCTCCTCCTCCTCCTCCTCCTCTTCGTCCTTCTCCTCCGTGGCCATTCTGGCTCAAGTCTGGATGAAAGCTACGGAGTAGCGAGATTCCAGACTGAGGGCCTAATTGGCCCTCGTAGGCAGTTTGCCCTCGAGCTGCCTTGTTTCCTGCTCCCGAGGCCAGGTCGATCGGCCGCCCGCAGGACAGCTCTGTTTCGGCATCATCAGAGCCACCCCGTGCGATCCCGCCATGGTGGCCAAATCTGGCGCAGCCAGCTCTGCGGCGGGCGCTGATGGGACTGGCAGAGGGCCTGCAGGTGCAAGCGCTCCATCGGTGACAAACCTGCAGGTGCTGGGCGCTCCAAGGGCAAGGGCAAGAACTCGGCGCACGACCCCTGGGCTGACGCTGCTGGCAAAGGCGTCTGCAGCGATGTCGTCGACCTCGACATGATCTCCGCCGAGGGCGAGGCCGCGGCGGCCCTCGGCCTGTCCCTGAGCCTCGAGGACTCGACGCACTCCTCGCCCACCACCATGGGGACGGCCACGCCCATCGGCCGCTCGAGTTCCTCGCCTGGTTCCCCGCCCTCTGCTGGGGCGGAGAGCGCACTCGACTTCGAGATGGTCGGCGCGGGCGAGCTGGACTTCGTGGAGAGCGCTGCGGGCGTCCCGCGCGACATCCACGGCTCGCTCACCGCGGAAGCGCTGCTGCGGGCCCCTGCTGCATGCGGTGCCCCCCCAAGCGGGCCCCCCGCTGCTCTCGGCCCGCCTGGGCCCGCTGGGGGCGGCGGCGCCTGTGCTGGTTCAACGCACCGTGCCGGGCCGTGCCTGGCGAAATTATCTGGCGGGCGCTGCGTTGGAGATGTTCAGGCTCGTGGCGGAGTGGGCCCCGACGAACCCTCTGCCGCTGCCGCCCTCGCACGTGTGACGGGCCCCCTCCAGCGGCTTGAGACCAACATGGCCACCAAGGCCGACTTTGAGAAGCAAGAGAAGCGCATGGACATCCTCGAGGCCCAGGTGCAGTAGCTGACGGCCGACCAGCAGAAGGGGATGACCGCCGCGCAAGAGCACGCGCTGCTGGCCAAGCTCCAGGCCAAGGTCCTGGCGGCCCAGGCGCCCCGCGGACTAGCGCAGCCAGCGGGGCTGCCGACTCGGCCTGGGGATCCTACTTCGCCCGGAAGGCCAACGACGTGGGGGCCAAGGGCGACGGCCACTGCAACCCATGCAAGATGTGGGTCGGCGGGTTCCCGCGACCCCTGCTCCACTCCGTCCTGGAGCGCGCGGGCCAGATGATTCTAGCCTCTCTCCCGACAGCTGCACAGGGCAAGGCTGTGATCAAAGCCTTCAACCTCAACAGGGGCGTGAGCATCACCTTCGACGACGAGGCGGCCATGCGAGACGCCTGCTCCGGGCTCCAGGACTCTCCGCCCGAATGGACCGACCCGCTGAACGGCGCTCGAGTGCAGCTTCGGGCGCGACGGGACGCTCCCGCCCACGTTCGGCGCAACAACCGCATGCTCGGCCTCCTCTTCTAGCGTGTTGTGGACTACCTCAAGGCACAGCAGAAGTGGCAGACCTCGTACATGATGGGGCCCAACGGCTTCAAGGGCGTGCTCTACCTGATCATCGGGGAGGAGGCCCACGTGCTTTTCGAGATGGAAGAGCTCGACCAGCAGCAGCACCAGATCCACCCCCAGTTCGGGACGCTCGAGCAGTTCCACATGAACCAAGAGATGGTCCAGGGCTGGGTCGACGCAATGCAAAGTTGACATACAAGTGTACCATCTCAGCGATCTTCGATGGCAGCCAGCTTATGTGCTTCCTCGGTGGGGTCCGAGGCGCCGTCGGCTACGGGTGCTATCAGGCCGATAGCGAGTCCGACGGCGGCTACATGGGCCTCGTGCTCGGCCCCCTCTGCATGCGCCACCCCCCTCGCCCCCGGTGGGACTTCGACTGCCGCGGCGTGTCGCGGGAGGAGCCGACATGAGATGCAGGTAGACGTCTCTAGGCCTCGCTCGCGGACGCGACCCCTCAGCCGCTGCTCCAGTCTCTCTCCCTCTTCGGCCGCCACTTCCTCATCCACATCCAGTTCCTCTTCAGATCATGATGTATTCCTTGGGCTCACACTCCGCCCGCGCCGCCCGCAGTCTCCTCTCTCAATCGTCAGCTGGAATGCCTGCTCCGTGTTCGGTGCCATCGATCCCACGGAAAACACGCGGCGCAACATTGCTCGACTCACCCAGCTTATTCAAGTTCATGACACCGTCTGTATCCAAGAGGTTCGTGGCACTATGGCTGACCTGACTCTCTTCACTTCTGAGGTCCACGGATGCATAAGTTTTGGCAGCTTCTCAGACAATCCCCACGCTGGCGGCGTTGCTATCTTTCTTCACCCCACCCTTGCTGCTCATTTCCATCGGCGACATCACTCCTCTCTTATCGATGGGCGCGCGCAGACCCTCTATCTGGCCAACGATCACGACTGCGTGCAAATCACCACCTTCCATTTGGACCCCGCCCTGGGGAGGCAGGACGTAGGCGCTTCTCTTCGCTGTCTTCGGCGTGCTCTCTGGTCTGCTGATCTATGCTTGGGTGCTCTCTGTGGGGACTTCAACTTCCCAGCAGAAGGTGAGGGCAGGCATCTGGTCGATGGCTCCGTCAGTTTCGCTTCCACCCCGATCCCAAGGTTCTTCACCGGCCTCTTTAAATATTTGGTCGAGGTCATGCAACCTTCCTTCACACATCGGGTCGAGCTCGGCGTTGGGGAGGCTAAACAAGTGGCATCCTTAGGCAGAATCGACAGGATTTACTTCAACGTTCCGCCTGGAGACCTGATCGACCTGCATCCTGCTAACCGTGTTCTGGGGGATCGTGCAGGGCTTGGGGAAGTGTCAGATCATGTACCTGTTGTTGTTTCGATTTCGGGGTATACGTCGGCTGCATCTTCGTTTCGCGTTCCTCGTTGGGTTTGCCTGCACAAAGAATTCCCCTCCATGGTCTCTGAGGTCGTTCTGGAGGCGGGCCCGATCTCCGACCACCCTGTTCAGGCGGTTGAAGATCACAGTTGCGTTTTCAAGCAAGCTGCTCGGAGGCTCATGCGGAGATTGGAGATGCGAGCGGCCAGCTCACCCCCCGAGTTTCTATCCTGGACTCTGGCAGCGTTGCGGGGCATGAGAGCTGTCGGTTCGAGTAGCTTCCCGTTTGGGCATGGTCAAGACATACTTGGTCGGGCTTGTGCTGCCTACCCCACCCTGGCTCGGCTTCTGGATCCGCATGAGGGGGTGTGGACCGACTTTCGATGCTTTCACTATCATCTTGCAGACCTTCAGAGGCAATGTACTGCTGCTCGCGTGGAGGAAATCCAGGGGTCCAGCCTCCCCCAGGCCAAGAAGGAGTCGAGCACTGCCAAGCTTCTTGGGTACCTCTCGGCTTGGGGCAAGAGGAGAAAGCGCGTTGGCCTCGATGGGGGTTGTTGGCCCGACCGGTAAGGAGCTGCTCGACCCTGTGAGCGCATCCCGCGAGCTTGCCACTCACTGGGGCCAGGTGCATGGGTGGAGCGAGGGGTCCGAGGTCCTGCGCGGAGAATTCGCCCACCTGGCCCCGTCTTCCCCTCCCTCGGTCTTCTGGGCCCTGGAACCTGAAGAGTTTCAAGAAGCTCTTTCACGGGTTGGGGACTCTGCCCCTGGTCCCGACGGGCTTCCCTACGCTGCCTGGAAGGGGGGTGGCGATGGAGCTCTGTCTGCGCTGTATGCCTTATACTCGCATATCCTGGCCGCAGGAGAGGTTCATCCAGAGTTCAAGTGGGCCTGCAAAGTTTACCTGTTCAAAGGAGACGCCCCCGAAGATGCCCATCGTGTTGTTAGGCCTCGTGAGGACACTCGCCCCATCACCTTGAGCAACACCTCGGACAATATTATCAGCCGTGCCCTCAACCGTCCCCTGCCCCGAGTTTGCGAAGAAACCTGCATCTACTTTCAGCGTGGTTTTGCCCCTGGGCGCCTGGGAACCGACAATATCATAGACTTGGAGGCCAAGTTGATTCACTGGATCGCCCAACTAGCCGAACCACAGGCTGACTTATTATTCTAGATATCCGCGCTGCGTTCCCCCCCCTCCTCCACTCTGCCATCTTCTTCGCGCTCAGAGCGATGGGCATTCCAGAATGGTACGTCCGTGCAGTGCAGGCGCTCTATTCTTCCCTCTGGGTTGTTGTCAGCTTTCGCGGATGCCGTAAGCACGGATACTGGTGTCGGCGCGAGATCAAGCAGGGGTGCCCCCTCAGCGGAAGTCTCTTCGCGCTCACCTACGACCCGATCCTTAGGTATCTCGACTCCCGTGTGCATCGCGATCTTGGGATCCTTGGGTGTTTTGCCGACGACCTGTGGCTCGCCTGTTCGAACGTATTCGATGTCCTCGTGATTACCCTTGAGGTGATGAAGGTCGCTGGGCCTGCTGTTGGGCTCCACCTGAACCCGAAGAAAACCGTCCTCGTCTTCCCGCTCGGCATATCCTCGGAGCAATTGGAGTGGGAGCTCAAGAGTCGTGGTATTAGGAGGGGGGTCTTCAGCATCCAGAGAACGGGGAGGTATCTGGGGCTTATTCTTGGGCACGAGAGTTCGGCAGAGAGTTGGCCCCACCCGATTGGAAGATATGACAGTGCAGTCCGTGATATCAAGTCTCTCGGCCTTGGGCTCATGAAGTCGATTGCTCAGCACAACCTCCGTGCTTTCCCGCGGCTGATGTATGTTGGCCAATTCCACGCCCCTTCGGCCACGGCCTTGTCTACCCTTCGCGAAGGACTTCAGGCTCTTGCGGCAGGGCCTCGGAACGCCATCCCGTTCGGGCTCCTCCAGAATTTGTGCTGGCTCGACTTCCCCGTCGAGGGTAGGGATCTTGAGATTGCCAGTCGAGCCGCCCGATATCGATGTGCCGTTCATTCGTCGGCGTTTTCCAGGGCACGTGATCTGCCCCTGAGCTTTGCAGATGATGACGAATGCTGCCCTGCATGGAAGGCCCACCCCCGCTGGCTCTCCTCTCTCCCATGTTCCCTGATGGCCAACCATGACCTTGCGGTGGCCATCCCGAGAGTCCCCGCTTTCGGGGGGAGTGGGTGCCAGGCGAAGGTGGGGGCCCAGCTCAGAGTTCCTGGCAATGTCCGGGAGCTCCTGCTCCCTCGGCTGCGGTGGTGGTTCGCATCCGCCCAGGGGTGCCACGTCAACTTCGTGGTCCACTCCTTCGTCGCCGCCGCCCGCGCCTTCCCATGCTCTGTCTCTTCCTCGCTCCTCAAAGCCCTGTGCAATAGTTGGTGCGCGACTCGTCGTTTCAGAGGTCCCACCCAGGAGTGCCCTCTGTGCCGTGCCCCCCAGGGTGACGGAGTTTTGCACTTGGTTCAGTGTCTGGGTTCGCCGATCTCTCTGCTCAGGCTAAGATGTGTTTTTTGATGCTTCCCCTCCCCGACGGGGGTCGGTTGTCTATTATGTTGTTTTTCGATTTCCTGTTCACTATAAACTACACGCTCAAAGGGCTGCGAACAGGTGATTGGGGTAGCCAGGTCCTCCCCTTCACTAAGGCGAGGTATACCGCCCTCGCCCGCCGCCATCCCCATTTGTGCTCCCTCTCGCTGTTCTCCTTCTGCTCGTGATGGGACTGCTGCGCCATGGGGAGTGGCGCTCTTCGTCCTTCTCCTTTTCCTCCTCCTCCTCCTCCTCCTCCTCCTCCTCCTCCTCCTCCTCCCCCCTTTCCCCCTCCTCCTCCTCCTCCTCCTCCTTCTCCTCCTTCTCTTCTTCCTCCTCCTCCTTCTCCTCCTCCCCATTCATCCTCCTCCTCCTTTTTCTTTTCCTCCTCCTCCTTTTCCTCCTCCTCTCCTCCTCCTTCCCCCCCCCTCCAGATTGAGGGGATATAGGAGGTGGACAAGGAGTGCAGGGAGCATGGTTTTACGGTGATGGTTACGTGACGTGGAACGAGGAACGACTCTTGAAATTTATCGTCGTTCAGCTCCTCCTCCTGTTCTTCGCGTTCCTCCTCCTCCTCCTTCTGCTCCTCGTTTTGCTCCCATGAACCCTCCTCGTCCTTTTCCTTCTCCTCAGTCCATCACTCATTTTCTTTCTCCTCCGCCTCCTCCTCCGCCTCCTCCTCTTCTTCCTCCTCGTCCCCCTCCTCCTCCTCCTCCTCCTCCTCCTCCTCCTCCTCCTCCTCTTCCTCCTCGTCCCCCTCCTCCCCCTCCTCCTTCCCCTGCTCTTCGTCCTTCTCCTCCTCCTCCTCCGTACCCTCATCCGTACCTCTCTCTTCCTCCACCTCCTCCTCCTCCTCCTCCCCCTCCCTCCCCTCCTCCTCCTCCTCCTCCTCCTCCTCCTCCTCCTCCCTCCTCCTCCTCCCCTCCTCCTCCTCCTCCTCTCTCCTCCTCCTCCTCCTCCCCCCTTTTCCTCCTCCTCCTCTGCCTCCTCTCCTTCACCTCCTCCTCCTCCTCCTCCTCTCCTCCTCGTCTCCTCCGTCTCCTCCTCCTCCTCCTCCTCCTCCTCCTCCTCCTCCTCCTCCTCCTCCTCCTCCTCCTCCTCCTCCTCCTCCCTCCTCCTCCTCCTCTTTCTCCCTCCTTTTCCTCCTCCTCGTGCTCCTCCTGCTCCTGCTCCTCCTCCTTCTCCCCCCTTTTCCTCCTCCTCCTTCTCGCCTCCTCCTTCTCCTCCTTCTCTGCCTCCTCCTTCTCCTCCTCCTCCTCCTCCTCCTCCTCCGTCTCCTCCGTCTCCCTCCGCCTCCTTTCTCTTTCTCCTCCTCTTCCTCCTCCTCGTGCCTGCTTCCTCCTCCCTCCTCCTCCCCTCCTCCCTCCTCCTCCTCATCCTCATTCTTCTCCTCCTCCTCCTCCTCATCCTCCTCCTTCTCCTCCTCCTCCTCCTCCCCCTCCTCCTCCTCCTCCGTCTTCCTCCGTCCCCCCCCGCGGGGCACTCCCAGCAGGAACGGCTCGGCCAGGGCCTGGAGGACTCGCCGGCCCCGGCTGCCTTGGTGCCACGGCTGCGGCGCCCGGACTACTACGTCAGCCCGTCCATCGAGGCCGCGCTCCCAGGGGGGAACATTCTTGTCCTCCCCAACTGTTCCTCCTCCCTCTCCTCCTTCTCCTCCTCCTCCTCCTCCTCTCATCCTCGTCCTCATCCTCCTCCTTCACCCTGTCCTTCTCCTCCTCCTCGCCCTCCTCCTCCTCCTCTTCCTCCTCCTCCGCTTCCCTTTCTCCTCCTCCTCCTCCTCCTGCTCCTCCTCCTGTCCTCCTCCTCCTCCTCCTCCTCCTCTCCTCCTACGTAGATGCAGTACATCCTTCTCCTCCTCCTCCTCCTCCTCCTCCTTCTCCTCCTCCTCCTCCTCCTCCTCCTCCTCCTCCTCCTCCCCGTCCTCCTCCTAAAACTGAAGGGATACGTGCAAATGCAGAAATCAAAGGCGAAGATGCCGACGCTGCACCGCCCACTGCTTCTGTCATGCTGGACCTGATGTGACAGTATTGTTTTTAATGTAATCTCCATGCTGGCCATTGGACGCTCGAGTGACTAGTCTTTGAACACGTCTTGCCACGGCCGTTACTCGAGCCAGCGCTTCTGAAACAGAACGCACGCGAGAGGGCAAAGGATGGAAGGGCGGAAGCGGGGAGGGGGGGGGACAAGCATAGGCGCACATGCGGCGACCGCCCTCGGCTGCTCGCATATTTTTTTTTCTCTCTCTCTCTCTCTCTCGCTCTCTCTCTCTCTCTCGCTCTCGCTCTCTCTCTCTCTCTCTCTCTATATATATATATATATGCACACGTTTCTCTGTCTCAGTCGGGCCCTGCCCGAGCCCATCTGCGTGGCGCGCCTCGCTCTCTGCCGCACCTGGATCGATGCGTCTGCCCCCTGCTCTCGTCTCTCCCCCCCCCTTCCCCCCTCCCTGAGGGAGAGGGACAGGGCTCGTTTCGATTCCTCCGATTCGATTCGATTCGATTTCGATGGATTCCGATTCCGATTCGATTCGATTTCGGATTCCGATTTGGATTCCGATTCCTCATTGAGGCCTTATTGTTTTGCCGATGTCCGCCGATTCGACTCCTCCCGATTGTCTGCCGATTTCCGCCGATCCGATTCATTTCGATCGCCGACTCGACTTGTCGACTCGATTCTGGGCTCTCCTGGAGGGACGGGAGGGGTTCTCTGGGCTTCTTAATAGGCGTGGGGGGGGTGCCCCCGACGGGGCTCAACCTTGCCTCGTCGTCGCTCCGCGACGGGGGTCAGAGCGCCTTCGGCGCGCGGTGGCCCTTATCAAGAAACTCGGAATTTGTTGTCGGATATGGCGCGAGCGCAGCTAGCTTGTACCTGCCCCTCTCGATCTTTCCTCCCCGCTCCGCCGCCAGGCCATGGCCGCCATGTCGGAGGCCAGCCTGAGCCGCCTGGACAACCTGGAGATTGGCAGGCCTCCCGGGACCAAACAGCCATCGATGATGACCAATGTTGAGAACGTCCACTCCGCTCTCGCCCTGAAGTTCTGTTGCTGGAAAAGCGTAGCTATGTTATATATACTTATATATATAGCATAGAGAGAGACACACAAACACACACATATATATATGTATATAGTCTGAAATAAGCAACAACACCAAAGCAGCACGTGCCCATCACACGGCTGATCCCTATCCAGGCAGGGGCAGGGCAGAACACACGTGTGTATATATACTAATATATTCATAAATATGTATGCACATATACATACGCATATATATATATATATATATATATATTCATGTGTGTGTAAATAGAACCTGTCAAGTCAGAAGCCTCCTCCCTCTCAGGCGCAGGAGGAGCAGGAGGGGGGGAGGAGGATGATGATGATGAGGAGGAGGAGGAGGAAGAAGAAGAAGAAGGAAGGGAGGAGGAGGAGGAGGAGGAATAATAATAAGAAGAAGGAAGGGGGGAGGAGGAGGAGGAGGAGGAGGAGGGGGAGGCTGGGGGAGCCCGGCAAGGCCCTGGTCTGTTCTGCGCGCGGCCCCCGCCGAGGGCGGTCGGGGCGACATCTCAGAAGGCTGCCCCAGCTGTTGTGGGGAGGCAGGAGCCCCCCCAGAGCACCGCCATACCTCCAGTGCACTGCAAGACGCCACGCGGATGCTTGTCGCCGTGCTCGGCTTAAGCCAGGCACGTCCCTCAACAGGGGCCATATTCAAAAATAGTCAGACAATAGTCGGGGGGGATATTCAAAAATGGTTTAAAAAATAGTCCGGGGACGCTTTTACTGTTAGTTGTTGATGATTATTTGGGTATGTTTGACGATTTGTTCGTTTTCGCCCAAAACTCCCCTGTGGGGGGGGGACGCCCGGCATAACGCTCGGCCTTTCGAAGCCCTCGCCCGTCCCCGGTTCCTAGCCTCAGGACGAAACGCCCAGCCTTGAGAAGATCAGGAGGGGATAATACATAATATTGGATAAGGACAATATAGTCATCAATATAGGATAAGGACAATATAGTCGTCAATAAGAACAATATAGTCGTCGTTAATATGGATAAGGACATAATATAGGATATATAATATATAACAGTATATGATATTGACAAGCATCATCGTCGACTCCTAGGATAATATAGAATGATATTTGATAAAGAAAAAACGCCATGAACATAAACTTTTGGCGCTACGCGCGGGTTTCTTGGATCCGCGCTGGGCCCCCCCCCCCCGGCGGCGCCTCCGGCGCCGCTCCGCGCGCCAGGGAGGGGTTTCCAGCGCCGATCCAAGAAATCCGCGCGGAGCGCCAAGAGTTTCTGTTTCTGGCGTTATTTCTTCTTCTGGATATGGAAAGGGGGAAGACGAGAAGCCAGAACATATAGGAAAACACTGGGAATCTGGGGAGTTGTGTCTATTTGTTCGCGTGTCCCTGGGCCCCTTTAGGAAAGGAGGGCCGGGACTTCTGGGGACCCGTGGAGAGCAAAAGCAGCACATCGGACCTCCGTGGCCACCAGCGGGGCTCAGCGTGGCCGCAGAGGGGGCCCAAAGTTTACCAGCCTGGAACCTTCCCTATCCCTGTGCCGGGCATCTCCTCATCACGATGCCAATCTTAGGGGTTCCATTATTTTTGGAGGGCGCATCCCTAAGATTATCATCGTGTTGGCGTGTCAATCTTAGGGATGGGATAAGTTCGAGGCCGGTAAAGAGTGGCGAGAAGAGCCGGGAGCGCCTCCTCCTCCTCCTCCTCCTCCTCCTCCTTCCTCCTCCTCCTCCCCCCTCCTCCTCCTCCTCCACCTCCTCCACCTTCTCCTCCTCCTCCTCCTCCTCCTCCTCCTCCTCCCCCTCCTCCCTCCTCCTCCTCCTCCTTCTCCTCCTCCTCCTCCTCCTCCTCCTCCTCCTCCTCCTCCTCCTCCCGCCGAGCCATGTTTTCAGCATGTGTCTCCAGAGTCTGGCTTCTGCGATGGCCACCAGGAGGCTGCTCGTCGCCACGGCTGGCTATCC